TGACATACATTTGTTTTTCAACATTTAATGATAACATTCAATAACAAAATGGACATTTTCATTAATAAACTGTTTACATCCACTTTATACATGAAAATGTCCTACATCTGAAATAAACTGTTAACAAAAAACAAAAAGAAAAAAAGAAAACAACGGCTATCTATTACAAAACTGCCAATTAAGGGTCCAGATCCTCTAGATCCGATTCCAACGGTTCAAATTCCAATTGTTCGTGAGGAATCCGTTGATCCAGAGTCACCTTAGCGACCGCCAAAGCCTTCAGCCATCCATGCTTGAAGCCTCAATTTTCAAACTTCAAGGCTTTATTAACATAAAGCTCCTTGGCCTTCAGCATGCCGGCTTCAAAGGCATTAGCCGCGTCTGCCTCAGCACGCTCCTTCGCCTTCTGCTCAAACTCAAGTTCGGCCTTCAACGCTGACACTTCTTCTTGAGCCGACTTTAGAGAGCCGTCCATGAATTTATTCTTTCTTCGACTACCCTACGAAGCAAATCGACATGTTTAGCTTTCTGTTGAGCAGCCACTGCCCTCACCTGCTATTCTTCGGCTTTCATAGTCGCTACAGACAGATTAGTGAGGGCTGCAATGACCTTACCCTTTTCTTCCTCCAGCTGATACTCAAGGACGCCGAATTGATCCACAATGTCATAATGACGATGGCTGATCTCGGTAAGCCTTCCCGCCATCTGGAAAAGCAATCAAATTAGTTTGGACAGAAATACAAATTTAAGCTATTGGAAATTTGAGGTTTTCAACTTACCAAAATGGCCGACTGAGCGGCCAAAGCAATTGAGATTACATCCGACTCAGCACGAAAAGTCGCTTGGTCCAAAGGCGAAAAAAGGGCCGAAGCTACGCTCAGGGCCACGGCGGGATCTTTAATAGCCGAGCCACTGGCGAGCACCGGGGTATTCTTCATCCTTGGTTGGATAATGAACACCTCGGCCAAATCATCTTCGACGGGCGGTGTATCTACCCTCGACCATTTTTCGATCAGCGCTTCTTGCAAATCGATCACAGCATCAGCAGAACGCTTCTACCCTGTGAGATCGGCTTCCAGGACTTTAACTTGATTTTGTTTAGGAATTAACTCGACCAATGGTGTTTCGCAGGCCGTTTCTTCCTGACGCACCTCACGAGTTGGCGTTATTCTCCCCCCTGACCCGCCGGCCTGTTTCCTGGCCACCATCTTCTCCGCATTTCGTCACCTGGCAAACTGGGCAAGCGACTCTGACCTTATCTCTTTAGCTTCGGACTCGGCCCCAGGAAGATTCTCTAAGCCGGTGAAGATATCGTCCTCTGGAGTAACTAAATCTACTTGGCCAGAAGTGGAAAGCAGGAAGATTCTCTAAGCCGGTGAAGATATCGTCCTCTGGAGTAACTAAATCTACTTGGCCAGAAGTGGAAAGAAGGTCGGCGTATTAGTCTGCGCTGATATGCTCAAATGCCAATTCAATCTCTCTATTAAACTCCTGGTCCCCTACGTGGCCCTCTGATTGCCCGTCTTCACCAACTTCCCCACCGACATCAAAACCTTCGATGCCAATGTCCCTTAGACTTTGGTAGCTAAGGAATATGAGCGCAGTAAGCTGCCATTCGTGTGTCGGCACAGGAATATTATCTGCTACCGAAAAAGTGGAGTAAGTTGGGTCGTATCTCAGCAAGACTTGGGCTACACGCCCTTGTCCTTGGAGGTTTGCAAGGCCTTTGTAATTAAGGACAGTCTTCACTTGGTCCAAAACGGCTTCGTCCGCAAACAACATTGCTCGTTTTAAATCGTTGCCTGCAAAAGACAAATGATTAGAATAGTATTTAAGCTGAATAAATCATTTATTTTAAGACATGTTAACAACTCTAGTCGGCAACCGGGTTTGCCCTTTTGCCTGGGAATTGGGTCTTGGCAATCTTCTCCTTCGCCGAATTCCCAATTACCTCGGACGGTGACCATGACATCATCAACCCTTTTGCCAGAGCTGGCGAGCATAGTTACCAAATCATGGTCAACGTCCTTGGCTCTTAAAAAGTAACGGCCTTGCCGACCTGTTGATTTCGCCATAACGTAGCAGTGCCGAATAGTTGGGACTCCTAGGTTAAGACCCAGTCGGTGATTCAATTCCACTATGCCTATAATAATACAATAAAAGTTCACGTTTGGCTAGAAGGGAATTAATCCCCAGTAACACAAAACTGTCCTAATAAGAAGATGGAGGGGAAATCGAACTCCACCCTTTGCGATAGCCAAAGAGGAATGGTACTAGTGTCAGTCCTCTCTATGTCCACTACGTTGTGTGGAACGAGTGATAGGTGAACGCCGTCTGGAATGGAAAAATGATAATGAAAGGCTGCAACTCAATCTTCAGAAAGAAAGGCTTTCAAATGCCTCGCCATTCGAGATGAAACGAAAATAGCATATACAAAAAATGAAAGCAAAAATATGCAGGGAAATTGGAATGAGGAATAGAATGAGAAGAGATAGGGGACTTACAAGATAAGGAAGGAGATGAATAATAAGAGAAAAGGTTGCGGAGGTCTGGAAGGAGGTTGATATGAAGGATGCTCAAAGGTTGACAGTAACTTTCCAATTCAAGCATATACGGGCGTAAAAGATGTCAATGGCTTTTCGATTCAAAAGTATACGGAGGTACAGATTTCAAAACGCATTAAATGAATGTCAAATACAAAGAGGCAGGAAGCAGTAATGATTCAAGTAGAGCGCTTACTCTGACGGCTCTAACGAATCAGTACGAAAAGAAGTGCAACCGCCGTATCTACCTTTCAAGAGCTCTTGCTTTGATTGGTCGAGAAACCAAACACGCCAAGTAAATATTTTATTCCGGTATTTGAGAGGTAATTGTGGATGCCGAATAATTACGTGCTCAAAAGGTTCAAACAGAGCACCGAGAATGATGGTAAGGCTAACTCGGCGCGATCAAACTTATTGAACAAGAATAAGGCCGAGTAAAATCCAGCCCATGGGCCGAATATGCCGAATAATTTCTGACGTACCTAGGGGTCCCAGATATGATAATGAAAGGGTGGGCCCCAAGAGAGCAATATAAAGAGAAGATCAGCCAAAGAGAGGTATGTGAGAATAGACAAAATAACTTGAAAATAGATGCAAACTAGAGAGAATACTAACTTGTCCGTCGGAGCGCTAATTCCGACATCCCCGGCCGACGTGTTCATCCCTTTTTTAGATAGTAATCAGAGGATCAAGGACGTCTGATTGGATTCTAGAGTATTTCCAAACCACTTCACCACATTTGCAAATAAATTTTTTTTTTTTAAAAAAAAATTGATTAAAATATGAAAAAGTTAATAAAAAAATTGAAAACTCAACAATATTTTTCAAAAAAATGAAACCAAACATAATTTTTGTTGTGGAACAATTTGATTGTGCAAAAAATCAAATTAAAAAAGATTAGCCTTTTTCAAAAATTGCCAATATTGAATTACATATTTTTAGATAAAGATTTAATTAAAAAAAAAGATAAACAAAGTACCTAAAATAACTATTATTTTAAATATAAGTTTCTTTGAATTGTATAATCTCTTAACCAACCATAAAATGCCACGTTACTTGAATTGTAGAAACTCCTAGGATGGACAAAAATCTCTCCTTCAATAAATACCCTTATTAATACCCTTATCCACTAACTAGCATAAATAAATATATATATATATATATATAGGATAATGTTGCTCTCTAATCCAGATTTTGGACTAAAGGGCGCTATTTGGGTTTTTAGGATCCACTATGAGTTCCGTTTTGATAATTCAAAAAGTTTATTTTGTTAGGTATTTCGTGTATTTCGTTCACAAAAAAATTAAGTCGATCTAATAATTGTAACTTGATCAATTTATTATATTTGTGACTAAAAAAAATGTATGATTTGTTTAAAAAGAATAAAATTATTGTCTATTTTTTTAATAAACTAAAAAAAATAAAAAAAACTTTTTTTTAAAAATTCTTAAACCAAACAGAGTGAAGGCATCTATCCATAAAATATGACAACTCATTACATTCCAAAGCAAGAAATTTAATTATTAAAATTCATTAGTTAATTTCTATAAATAAATAAATTATTAGTAGGTATAATCTTAGTCAACAGTTAATCAATTGCCTCTATCGGAGAATCTGCCACAAACAGATACATACACATAATACAGTAAACTATTTAGGATATATTCTAAATACACTTTTTAAAATTTACTTAAATAATAAAATTACTTAAATTATTAATTAAAATATATTTATAATATCATTAAAAATTATTAATTGACTTAATAATTTATTAATAAAAAGAATAATTTATTATGAAATTAGAAATTTCAAAAGTGAAATGTAATTTTTAAAATCATAATAAATAATTTATATTTTAATTAACAGCAATGCTAGAGGGCCACAATTTTTGTGGCCACAATGACTTAAAACTGCCAAAACGACATCGTTTTGAATGCAAAATATGCTAAAACAACGTCATTTTGACAATTTTAAACCATTATAATTACAAAAATTATGACCCTCAAACATTTTCCTTTAATTAAACATTATAATTTACTCAAAAGTGTTCATTACTCAAATGCCAAGAACAAGGGCACCTTTTTCCCACTTACTTCAGCAGACACACTCTCTCTCTCTCTCTCGTGTTGTCTCTCCCTCAATAAATACCCTTATTCACAACCATCAAAATACACAACCAAAACATATTATATACAAAAATGCTAGAGGCCCCAAAAATTCTACCAAAAGTTTTACCAAATGTCTCACATGGATGTAAAACTTTTGGTAAAACTTTCGATCAACTTGATTTTTTACAGGTATGATATACTGAATAAATCTAAAAATATGAACGGTTCGAATTATCAAAACTGTGCCTCAAAGTGGACCCGAAGGCCCCTGCAAGGAGAGAATGAAAGAGGGGGCTAAGGGGAGGATCCCAATTCCCTTTTTCCCACTTCCTTCAACAGACTCTCTCTCTCTCTCTCTCTCTCTCTCTCTCTCTCGTGTTGTGTCTCCCTCAATAAATACCCTTATTCACAACCATCAAAATACACAACCAAAACATATTATATATATGTAATCTGCATAATTGTCTTCTGATTTTGCTGAATCTATTCTATACTATACACAGCCATGACTGCTGCCGGGGATGGCACACACGTCCTGGTGTTTCCTTATCCTGCGCAGGGGCACATGATACCACTTCTTGACCTAACCCATCTACTAGCCTCTCGTGGCCTAAACATCACCATACTCGTCACCCCCAAAAACCTCTCTCTCCTCGCCCCACTTCTTTCCAAACACCCAACCATCAAAACTCTTGTCTTGCCTTTCCCTGCGCACCCTTCCATTCCTTCAGGCGTAGAGAACGTCAAAGACATGCCCCCAAATGGCTTTCGTGCTATGATGCGCGCCATGGGTGAACTCTACAATCCTCTCCTAAATTGGTTCCAGAACCACCCTTCGCCGCCTGTGGCCATCATCTCCGACATGTTCTTGGGGTGGACCCACCGCCTCGCTTGCCAGCTCAGCATCCGCCGCCTCGTGTTCTCCCCTTCCGGTGCTATGGCCTTGTCAGTTATTTATTCCCTGTGGTCTGACCTACCCAAGAGAGATGATCCCAACAATGACAACGCTCTCATCTCCTTTCCCAAAATACCTAATTCCCCGATTTACACTTGGTGCCAGCTGTCTCCCTTGTATCGTAGTTACGTGGAAGGTGACCCAGTTTCGGAATTCATGAAAGATGGGTTTGAGTCTAACATGGCGAGTTGGGGACTCGTGGTTAACTCGTTTAGTGAGTTGGAACGGGTTTATCTGGACCATCTAATTGAGGTATTGGGCCATGATCGGGTGTGGGCTGTTGGGCCACTGCTTCCTCCTGTCGATGATCGATCTGGCCCAATTGAGAGAGGTGGGTCCAGCTCTGTATTGCAAAGTGATGTGCTGTCTTGGCTTGACACGTGTGAAGATCGGACAGTGGTGTACGCGTGCTTTGGGAGTCAAGCAGTGTTGACAAACAGGCAAATGGAGGAGTTAGCACTGGGGTTGGAGAAAAGTGGAGTCAGGTTTATATGGTGCGTCAAGGAGCCCACAAATGAACACGTGGAGGGACAGTACGGTGTGATTCCATCTGGATTTAAAGATCATATGGCGAAGAGAGGATTTGTCGTAACAGGATGGGCTCCGCAAGTGTTGATACTGAATCACCGTGCTGTTGGCTCGTTCTTGACTCACTGTGGGTGGAACTCGGTAATTGAAGGAATTTTTGCAGGGGTACCAATGCTAGCTTGGCCAATGGGGGCAGACCAGTTTACAAATGCCACATTGTTGGTGGATGAACTTAGGGTGGCTACTAGAGTTTGTGAAGGTGCTGAAGCCATTCCAAACTCGGATGAGTTGGCTCGGTCGTTGGCAGAAGCGGTGGGTGAGAACCGAGTCGAAATGAGTCGAGCGAAGGAGTTGCGTGAAGCAGCATTGAAGGCTATTAAAGAAGAAGGTGGAACTTCATCCATGGATTTGGATGATTCGATCAGTCGTATTTCAGAAGGCTACTAATGAGAAATGTTTTTGGGTTCATCTACCTGTTGCTTTAAAAACAGACACAGCAAGTCATATGATCTTTTATTGTTTGTTGCGTAAAAAGAGACGTCAGACAAGTCATGTTACCTTTGTATAAAGCTTTCATGTCATTTGGATACTTTTTTCCATATACACTTTTTCTTTTCTTTTCTTTTAATAATACAAATTTAGAAATTGTATTAAGAAAATAGTATTTTGGCATGATCTAAATAAATGTACTTTTTGACTTTTTATGAAATATGGATATTGGGTATGAATTGGATTTGAAGTGATATGATAGAGAGGTGATGCGACTCAAATAAGATGATGCAACTTAAATAGGATTGTGACTTTTTGACTTTTATAGAGTACTCCAAATAAAGCCTGATATGGAGTTCATATTCATTTTACATATAAATCTTATAATACACACTTTCAATCTGCATACAAATATCACAATACACAATTTTAATTTTTACCATGCACTCAATTCTTGACATAAATCTAGAATTGTAAGTTTAATCCCAGACTTACTGTTTCTGATATATATTTTTTTTTTTTTATTTATCGGCAAAAGAAAGCTTTATTGTTTCTGATATAGCATACGGAGTTATGAAATTTTATGATATTAATGTCAATTTATTGTATAATTAATTCATTTTCAAATTTGAAGAAAAGCATCTCTTAACTATAGTACTACACTTTTTGTAGTGCAATTTGGAGTGTTTTGAAATATAGAATAAAATTAAAAATGATATCGTATGGTATCTTCACTCAAATCTAAATAAAAACACAAAAATAACATTGTTTTAACCTGAAATTTCCACATTTCGTTTAAATATATATATATATATTAACTTGACCTATTATCATTTAAAGCACTAAAGGCCCAAAAAAGTTAATGAATAGCCCAATGATTCTTCGAAATTGGTTCAAATATTGCTTGATAGTCCGATGACTCTCCAAAGTTGCCTCAAATGACCTTAAAACCTTGGAGTTAAGGGAATAACATTTTTGCAGGTGGACTACACTGCATTTTGTTCACTGTGAGCCCGCTCCAAGCTTAATTGATAATCTAAACCATTTTCTTGTAAAGTGCGTCGAGTAAATTATTCATACAAAAAATAAAATTAATTGAATATCGGTACACGATCATATCACACTTTTCAATAGCATGTATCATTTCAAGAATTCATCGTTCATTTTTCAGAGGAAAATGAATCCAATCGTGAGTCTATTGATGCTTTGTTAAATTTATTTTTCACTCACATGGCACGAGGCACTAAAATCTGTTAAATTTTTGTTACTTTTCTGTTTTTTGTTTTTTTTCCCTTTCCATCTTTTTTTTTTTTTTGAAATCCAAAATGCAAATAGGGTATTTTTGGTTCACAAAGTCTATGGCACCATAAAATTATCATGAATTTCATATCAATAGTGTATATTGAAAGTTACTGTTATGGGCCACATTTTAAGTGAATCTTGACCATTGATATGAAATTTTAGAGAGTTTTTTGCCCTTTTTTTTTTCTTCTTCTTAGAATCGTAGCATTACTGATTTTGGTTTACTTGACTCACATGACACAAGATACTAAATCACTAAATTGAATCGTAATAGAAAAAAACCCTATTGGTGATGGTGTTGAGTGCAAGTAAACCAAAATCAGCAATGCTACGATTCTATTACCTGATAGCTCTTTTTTGGTGAAACCATACGTGGATCCTATATGCATCCCAAAACCATTTCTTGTTCAAGAAATATCCTCCCACATCAACCACATTGGATCCCATCAATATTATATTCAGAAAGACAAAATAAATAAATAAATAAAATTTAAAACATACGGATTAAATTTATTTTGACTATGATTTAAATTATATAAAGTTTAAATCTTTATAAAAGGGGTCATCAATGGGAGAGACTGAACTTATTTAAAAAAATTAAAATCACGTTCCATCTGTAAGTCCAAATCTTACAGGCTTGTTTGACCATTTGATTGTTTCATTTTTTCTTTTTTTAATAAGGGGGATTTGGTCAAACCCGTAATAAAACTTTAATATATTAAGAACAAATACCAAAAAAAAAAATCTTGAAAAATTCAACACATATCATTATTATCAAAATATTAAACTTTAAAATAATATAACTTTTGATGTAGATGTCGGTTTTTAATAAAATTAGTGTTTTTAGAATTTTTTTATCAAAATCTATCAAATAAGATCCATGTTGATTATGAAATTCTTCACACAAAAAAAAAAAAATTTATTACTGTCGAAATTGATGTAAACAGTAACAGTAACATGCTATTTTGTTTGACAACAACATATTACTTTGTCTCACAATAAAATATTACTCTGTTTGACAGTTACTCTATTTGATAGTAACATGTTATTCTTTTGGCAGTAACATGTTACATCTGGCAATATTGTCCAAAAAAAAAAAGAAAGATATTTTACTTTGTCTTTTTTTCAATTATGTGTTTTCTCCTTAGGGGGTTTATCAAGTAAAATAAATTAGGCTATCATTTTCACCAAAATAAGGGTTCAATAGAGGAGTTTTGGCTAAATTTTCCTTTTAATAATTCATATGGTCAAATAAGTAATACTATTAAAATAATCAAATTAAAGCATAAATTTACCAAATTAACAAATTATGACAATGTTGTATGTCAAGAGTTAAGGGGATATCACCTGTCACTGTCAAATTCAATTTTAACAAATTATGTTTTGTGTACTTTCCTTTTTTTTAAAAAAAAAAATGAAACAGTATTGATTTTAATAGATTACAATTGAATTTAACAGTATTATATTTTGGACAATATTAATTTTTTTGGACGGAAGAGTTTGAGTCTGGCTTATGGAGTGGTCGAGATGGATTGGATTCATGTGCGGATTTAGATTTTAAACTTTTGTTTAAAATCCTAAATCATATTCTATGGGATGGGACGGGCAGTAGTAAAATTAAAAATTGATGGTTATTTTGGATAATATTAATTTTTTTGGACGGAAGAGTTTGAGTCTGGCTTATGGAATGGTCGAGATGGATTGGATTCATGGGCGGATTTAGATTTTAAACTTTTGTTTAAAATCCTAAATCATATTCTATGGGATGGGACGGGCAGTAGTAAAATTATTAATATATATATATATAAACATTAATCAATGGTTAATTAGCACTGCGCGAGCATCTACCAAATTAAAACTCATGCACTAAAATGATAATACAAAATGTCCACCAGAAAGAGTATCTGGTTCTCCACTTACTCCAATCCAACCAACCCCCTCCAACACTGTTTCAACATATACCCCAGTTCCGCTATCATCAACACGAAATATATTTACAGAATCAAACATAGATATGAAACACCTGATAAGTTTCACACTTTTTATCTCATAATTTATATCCCATTATTTGAAAATATTTGTGCATTTAGATTTCCTATATCTACCCCTCTTCACACGTCAAAATACACAAAACACATTGTATATTTACTCTTTAGATTGTGATATTGCTGACTCTATGACGACCACCGGAGATAGCACATATGTGTTCCCTTACCCTGCGCAGGGGCACATCATGCCACTTCTGGACCTAACCCAAAAACCTCTCTCCTCACCCCACTTCTCTCCAAACACCCTTCCATCCACACTCTCGTCTTGCCTTTCCCTGCGCACCCTTCCCTTCCCCCTGGCGTAGAGAATGCCAAAGACATGCCTTTTGTTGGTGAGCAAGCAAGAGATTGGGAATGAGCGAGTAGGGAAGCTACGTAGGGCAGCATTAGATGCCATAAAAGAAGACGGAAGTTCACGTAAGGACTTCGATAAGTTGGCCACGCATATTTCACAAGGGGCTACATAACTATAGGAGGTAAAGTTTAAATCTTTATAAAAGGGGTCATCAATGGGAGAGACTGAACTTATTTAAAAAAATTAAAATCACGTTCCATCTGTAAGTCCAAATCTTACAGGCTTGTTTGACCATTACCAAATGAAATGTTTGTGATAGGAATATGGAGTTTTTATAATTTATTTATAACAAATAAATTAAGGAAATGAGGATTTTACAATGAATAATGTTAGAAATTTTAAATATTTTATTAATATTTCTATCAAAAGTCTTACATGGGTATGGGACCCACATGAAACCTACATGGTGTGGGTCCCACACCCATATAAGATATTTGGTAGAAATGTTGGTAAAACATTTGGGATCTCTAACATTTTTCTTTTACAATACACATCCCATATCATATACATTTTGGGTTACGCTATTTTTTTTTCTTTAGTTATGAATAATATTCTTCTTTAGTTATAAAATTATTTTGAGATATTTGGTTATGTCTCATATACTGTTTGGTTATGATTTTTTTTTTTTAAAGATTATGATTCAAAAAATATAAAATTATACTATTTTTTTCTTTAATTATAAGCTACATATGGTACAGATCCTTTAAGAGATGCGTAAATAAAGTATGAATAATTGACAAACCCTTTTAGTGGGTAAACAACTATCATGAACATTAGTATATGTGGGGACATAATTTTTGAATGACAACACGTGGCCTTCACGAGAGGTCGGGCATGGAGAATCCCAAAAGACACGTCGAACAAAAGAAACCTGCACCAAAGAACATCGGGATGTTCAGGGAAAGGAACTCTGTTTCGACACGACCAATGGAGGGAGATCCAAAAGAACTCACAATGACACTAGAAGTAGTGCACCAAAGAGGCTGAAATCCGGAGATAGCCGAGCTCCTGAACGAACCAAGGAGGATCTGAGGGATTACCTCCAGAGAAAGCGACAAGATGTTGAGGTCACCTCTCCGGTTAAGCCGAGAACGCCGTTTTCGGTAGAATTGGACAAATTTGAAGCCCCGAAGAGGTTTCACATGCCGAGGTTCCAAATATACGACGGTAAGTCAGACCCTAATTTTCACGTCGGCTTGTACCTGAACTCGATGGCATTATACACCGGGAATGAGCCGTTGCTCTGCAAGGTGTTCCCCTCGTCCTTCGGGGAAATTGCATCGAACTGGTTTCACAAGTTGCCGAAAGGAACTGTGAAAACCTAGGAGGGCCTGGCCGAGATGTTTGTGGCCAGGTTTGTGACAAACAAACTACAGCCATTAATGGTGGACTCCCTGATGGCCCTAAGAATCAGTGAGGATGAAAGCCTTAGAGTTTATGCCAAGAGGTATTACGAGGTGTTCAACCGAAT